TATTAGCGAGGCCGGGGGTCGGCAACGTTCGGCACGCGTCTCGCCAGGTTAAGCACCCTAGCGGGCCAGGCCAGTTTTATTTACCGGCTGACGCGGCAGGTTTGGCCGATCGCGGCCCCCACTGGCCGTGGTTTGCTGTCCCGGGCCAATGGGGTCGGCGAGAAGCAGCGCAGGTGAGGGATGTGCTGGCCGCGGCTTCTCGCCGCCCCCATTGGCCCGGGACGGCAAACCGCGGCCAGTGGGGGCCGCAATCGGCCGAACCTGCCGCGTCAGCAGGTAAATAAAACTGGCCTGGCCCGCTAGGGTGCTTACCCTGGCGAGCCGCGTGCCGAACGTTGCCGACCCCTGGTCTAGATAATACTTCATCCCACCATGAATGCAGAGGACTGGACTAGATGACCTCTCAACGTCCCTTCCAGTCCTATGATTCTATTACATGAGCTCTCCACTCTCCCTGACATGGTCATGATGTCTATAGCAGCTACAAGACTAAATGTACATTTTCTATGGGGCTTCCAAGACAGGAAGAGAGGAGAGAAAATAGCTAGTGAAAACAGAGGTTACTTCCTGTAACTAGAAATTCTTCGAGATGTGTGGTCCCTGTAATTGACACATAGGATATGCATGCACACCCTGGGCGGTGGGCAGGGGAGGCTGTGCCTCCCCAAACAGCCAGGCGTGACCCCACCCACAGTTCACCTCCAGGGTCCCGCTTTGGCGGTGCTGCTGAGCTCCAGGGGCTCGGGCATGCTGCTCCCTTCCCGGGACTGCGGTGGTGCCACGCGCTCTCCCTCCCAGCGTGCCAGGCCTGGGGGGGCTGCCGTGGTGCTGCCATGTGCGCGCTCTCTCTCTCTCTCTCTCTCCTGGCACGCCAGGGCTTAGGGGGGCTGCGGCGCCACCGCAAGCTCTCCCTCCCGGCACTCTGGGACTGGGGAGGCTGCAGTGATGCCGCCTCACACTCTCCCTCCCAGGGCTCTGCAGCGGGGGGGGGGCTGCAAGCACTAGCTAGCCTGGGGTGGGGGCCAGCAGCTGCAGTGGGGGGGCTCTGAGATCCGGGGGCGTGGAAGGGGCAGGGCTGGGGGCTAGCCTTCCCCAGCCAGCTGTTCCCGTGCCACCCACGATGCACACCATGCACCCGAGCTCAGAGATTTTAACAAGCATTGTCCATTGGCCTGCATATGCACAAAAGATCATCTCGTGCTCCTGAGCGAGGGTACAAGAGGCAGTGAGGGTCAATGCCCCCACAGTTCCTCTTCTTACCACGAATCCAATCCAGAGCTGAAGTAGAAGGAACAGAGGGCAGGTATTGTAATAGATATATAGGGTTACCATACGTCCTCTTTTTCCCGGACACGTCCGGCTTTTCGGCACTCAAACCCCCGTCCGGGGGGGAATCGCCAAAAAGCCGAACATGTCCGGGAAAATGCCGGCCAGGCACTTCCCCTCCCGTGGCGGCTCTGCTCCTCCCCTGACTCTTCGGCTCTGTTTAAGAGCCGAGCTGCCCGAGTGCTATGGGCTTCAGGCAGCCCCCTTGCCACCGCCGGAGCCTGGGAGGGGAAGTGCCCGGCTGGGGGCGCAGGGTCCGGAGGCATAGGGGCTGCCCGAAGCCCAAGCACTACCGGCTTCACGGTTTGCCGGGCAGCCTCCAGATCCTGCATCCCCAGCTGGGCGCTTCCCCTCCCGGGCTCCAGCTGTGCTGGGGAAGCACCGGCCGGGGGCGCAGGGTCTGGGGGCTGCCCGGCAAACCGTGAAGCCGGTAGCGCTCGGGCAGCCCTTTCCGCGTGGCTGGAAGTGGGAGGGGACGGAGTTAGGGTGGGGAAGGGGTGGAGTTGGGGTGGGGTGGGGAAATGGGCGGGGCCAGGGCCCATGGAGGATCCTCTTTTTTTATTTGTTAGATATGGTAACCCTAAGATATAGACCACACATCTCAAAGAACTTTCAGTTACAGTAAGTAACCTTCATTCTGTCTTCAAGTGCTGGTCCCTATGTGTATTCCACGCGTGGGTGATTGACAAGCAGTACTCAGATTGGAGGTGTGTGCAAGGAAGCCAGAAACAAAGATGTGTGCAGCTCCGGCGCAACCACAGCATCGGCGCCTATGGAGAAACCCCGTCCAGCTCACTGTCTGATCCATCATTTGACATCGGAGGGGCAAGGCAGGATTGTGAGGAAATGCCCCTTGGTCGGCCATGGCTCCGTTCCATGATCGTGGTGGAGAGTAAGGAGCTTCCACCGTAGCCAGGTCACCAGCCTGATGGAATTCTACCAGTACCAAGTGTCCTGGCGTTGGTGGTGGTGCCAGGGGAGATGGGGACCTTACCCGTACCAATCTCTCCAGTGCCCCAGGGGCCAATGCTGCTGGCAGTACTGACAGCTCACATATTCGGTGCCTGTCCCCAAACAGTCCATGGGCCTATCAACGGTACTGGACATTGACAGTCTCCGTGAGATGTGGGTGCAAGGTGATCTCAGTGTCGGTGGTGCCAAGGATACTGAGCAAGGTGGTGATTGCTTTCAGATATCCCTGGGCTCACTGAGTGGTCTTCCCACTCTCTTTTTCAACTTTTGAGAGGAGTGCCCGGGCCATTTCTTCGACGCAATATCCTTCAAAGTCAAGGTTGAAAGGAAGACTCCCGTCCATTGGAGGGCTGGGGTTGGAGAGCTGCTACTATACAAATGATTTTCTGGCAGAGCTCTCTGTCCTTGTGGGATCTCGGTTGGAGCTGCTTGCAGAGGGAACACTTTTGTTGGATGTGCCCGCTCCGAGACAGCTAATGCACGAGGAGTGCTTGTCCACAACCGGGATTGCTTCTCTGGAAGTGCGACAATTCTTGAAGCCCAGAGAGCCAGGCATATCCTTATCCAGGGGGGTCGCCCAAAACTGGGGGCCGACAAGAATAAAGCCTTTTCTTTCTTCTTTTGTTGATTTTTTTTTAAAGGCACCGCCAAATAAAAGTCAAATGAAGGCTAAAGGATTTCTAAAATCTAAAGATTAACAACTGAAAAGAAGAGTTAATGATCCGCTAACAGGCAGCTAAAGGCTCCATCTCTAGTCGGGGTGGTTGAGAACTAACTGAGGACAGTTAGCCCTCAGTTGGTTAGCCTCGTGGTGCAGCACTAGAAGAGACAGCACATTTGCGGGCCCAACAGACATTGCTACCGAAGTTCTCTGATCAGCAGCACAGGGACGCAGACACAACTACAGTGGAGCATCCCATAGGGACACTGCTCAAAGAAGAAGAGGGATTTTTTGGGAGGGAGGCGAGGGGTAAACTGAAGTGAATGTCAGTATTGTAATTAGCCCCTCATTTCTCTTACCAACTTTATATTATTTTCTGCAGTTTCTAAGTTTCAGAGGAAGAACAGAAGACACTTTAATATAAACAATCCTCTTCTTGTAAATAGCTAGGACAATGAAGAGCCCGCACTTGGCCTTTAACTACCACATTTATAAATTCGCACTGGAAACTCATAACAACAAAACAACTCTTTTCTTTTGTCATAGCTCCTGCCTGCCTAATAAAGATGCTGTTCTGAGCCCTATCTATGCAGACAGAGTAGAGAACTGCCACTTCGGGCCATCCCAGACTGAAGCCCCTAGACCTGCTAGTGTGGATGGTACCTGATTGTTTTGACTGCATTTGTGATCATAAGTAGGGTTTCCCCTTCCCAAGGGGAAACTGTAGGAAGAGGGAGCCTTTTGTCTGAGGGAAGCAGCTAACACAGGCCCTACTAGGAATGAAGCTTTTCCAGCTCTAGTCTGCAGGCTTTCCAGAGCAGAAACACACAGCATTAACTGTACCATCAACATGTTCATAGATGTACAACCACAGAAAATGGATGGGGGCTAATTTAGCTACAACTAATCAGGAGAGAGATCTTGGAGTCATCGTGGATAGTTCTCTGAAGATGTCCACGCAGTGTGCAGCGGCAGTCAAAAAAGAAAACAGGATATTAGGAACAGGGCCGGCTTTAGGCCAATTCCACCAATTCCCCCGAATGGGGCCCCGCGCCTAAGAGAGCCCCGTGTTGTACTTAAAGTACTGCACAGGATC